CGGAAATCAGATACTAGCAGATATTCGGTTACATTCCTATTAAAAATAATTTTGAACCAAAATAATTATGTAGAATGCTCATTTTGCTAGAATGTTAAAACTTTTTACTCATCATATTTAAAATTCTCGCGTATTATTTTAATAGTTCAAAATTATTTTCAAATTTGTATCTAGCTACATTTTTTTAGATACTTCAACAAAATTTTTCTTCAGTAAAAATATTTCTTTCTGTGCAAATTTATCATAAATTAAAATTCACATACGCGAGACCATTATCAAAAAATACAGTTCCGTGAATGCTGTGACTTCCGAAAAATTATATCTTTGCAAGATTAGCACCTTATTTTCGCACATGGACACTTGCTCAAGCTACAGCAGAGATCGGAGAATCGAGTGAAGACATTTTCATCACAGACACGAATGTCTGAGAGGCGTGATTCTGAAAGAGTCGTCTCCTTAACTGCCTCAAGTCTCACGAATATATAGCCGATCACGGGACTATGGTTAGACTTCATACTATTTATCGACGTATACTGCGATCTCCAGACCACGGGACGTTTCTTTGCGTTGCAGCACATAAACATCGTCGCTTTTGGTGGCGGGAACGAGAAATCCGGCTCGATACTTATATAGCGTACGAACGTTTCCATCCATCGTATAATCTCTCTCTCTCTCTCTGTTATTCCGAGTTCTTTCCCCCCAACCCCACCGGTCGTTGGTTCGCGGTTGACGGTTTTTGCCGGACGCGCCTGGGCACTCTTCGTCTCCGATACTATATTATACGTGCTCCGATAATTAAGACGTTTTCATCTGAAGTTGACGTTTGCGGTGACGTGCGCACACGAGTCCGCATCCGGACGAGCGTTTCGGCGACGGCGGCGAGGAAAAAAGCTAATCGTTATGCATCGTGTCGATAATTAATAGTGTATATGATCGAAGATCGCGTTCCTGGAAGAAGGAGGAGGCGCAGGATTGCTGATAAAAAGTGCGAATATCCACGTGTAAGATTTATCGACATCCGATGAGAATCAAAGAAAATCGTTGACCATTTTTAGACGTCCTGAGCGTAATTGGACACGAAGATGTTAACCATACACTTAGGGGGGGCAGTTTTGCGATTAAACGAGGAATGGTTTGGGATGAATTAAAAAACTTTCAGTTTGGTTATATGTCTCTATAAAAAAATGTTATTAGTTTAATAATTTGCCAAATAAAGTTTAACAAATTTGATATTATATTAATTGTATTTGTATTAAACTCATATTCTTCCAGACTAGAATCTGTGGACATAATTTGACAGCTGATTGCCAGGAAAAAATGAGTATTATATCTGTTATTTTATAATAAAGCACATATAATAGTGTCATTTTTGTTTAAATAATTTATTGTATTTAAATGTTTATGAAATGGCAACGAATTACAGCAATTATGAATTCTACTTATTATTTCTGATCGCCTACTATCATTTCAAACATATATATATTTTTTGTTACATTTTTGCTAACGTTTAACATAAACAACAGCTTTGCAATTGTATACACATTTAAATCCAGAGAGGAACTAAGGATAAAATTAATCATATTAAAGAATTTTACAACAACTGTAAAGCTATTTCTTTTTGCTAAATGCAATTATTGTATTGATAAAACTTGTAGCAAAAAATCTTTGCAAAATCTGTTTTAATCATGGATGATGTAGATATCTATAATATATATTATATTTTATAATTAAATATATTTTAAAATACATATTTTAAAATTAAGTTATATTATATTTTAAATTTCTCACAAGAGCGTTATATGCACACTATAATTCTAAACATGACTTTAATAATCTTAAAGAATCAATAAAAGGATCATATTAGCGTCTTAAGACATTACTTACGACAATCTTGAAATAAGAACAAACTATGAATACGGCCTATGAATGCGTACATTTAAGACCGTCTTAAATAATGTCTTAAGATACTAATGCAGCTCTCTAATCAGTATTCATAGGCTGTGGTCAAAGTCTTGCTACAAACGCTTTGAAGCATTTAACCAATTACCAAAGACCAATTACAAAAAAGAATTTTGCAAACTGACTAATTAAAAAACGCTTCAAAATGTTTGCAGCGTCGCATTGACCCAATAGTGAGAAAGCAACAAGCTATTTTCTCTTGCTGATTCATACTGGATTCAACGTTAGTCATACGACGCTCTACAATGAATCAAAAAACAGGATTTTGCTTTGTATCATCGATCGATTGCGGAGCGTCGGATTATGGTAGAAGTAATATATTATAGATACTTTTGCGTATTTTTTGAACATAAAAAGAGCAATACTCAGAAGTCACGTTAGAGCCTTAAAAAAGACTCCCATCAGTGGCCTAGTTTTCATTTAATCCGGATCAGAATGTAAGAACCAACTATAATCGAGTATTCCCTGTTACAGTCGAACGACAGAGGAATACTCGACTGTAGTTGGTTGATTCTTAAGGCCATTCTACATTGATCGTATCGTCACAAGTCACAAGCTTATTACTTCAGCCAATCCTTCAATTTTAAAGTCGCATGATACTTACAACGCTTCTAACGCTACGATACGATCAATGTAGAATGGCCTTTACATCTGATTCAGTTTAAATTCTCGGTGGAAACTAGACCATTGAGACACAAGTCTGATTGGCTGTCTAAAACACATGATTTCCCGTTTCTTACCAATGTAGTTAACTTTAATCTCGGTTCAATTTACTTTTCATCTTTTTCTAGTTCTAAAGATTAGAAAAAGACGAAGAATAAATTGAATCGAGTTAAAGTTAATCTACTTGGTAGAAATGGACATTAGACAGTCAATTGGTGATCACGATTTTTTTTCACATTGTGTTTACACGCATAGGCTATTGTAGCATATAGTGATGAGATATTATATCAATAAAACCTTAAACACAATGCGAAAGAACAGCGATAGCGATAAAAATAACACAATTTCAACTTAGAAATTAAATACACTGGAATATACAGTTTCTGATAGGTTGAAATCGTGTTATTTCTATCGCGATCGCTATTCCTTCGCATTGTATCCGGAGCTCAATAGTATTCTTGGCAGCGATAATCCAATCTAATGACTCCGGCACACCAGCGCGATGTTCTCACGCGCGACACGCGATATCCAATGAAAATATATCTTTAGAATGAAAACAGGTAAAGTACATTCATTACACGAATATCGTGCGACAAACATCGCGCTGGTGTGCCGGAGCCATAATCCACTTATGTTGAATCTCTGTTTTCTCGCCATGTTGCCGCGGTTATTTGAAATTGGTATTATGTCATTATGTTGCGTTATTTGCTTCAAAAATAGAAAAAAATATAAATTTCTGCATTCTTTTTTTCGGAACTATTCCCTAACAGCACAAATGTCAATATGTCGACTATAAGTTGATTTTCTAAGTCAGACCTTCAGAGTTGACTGTAAATCGATTTTATACAAACATCCTTTCAATATCGACTTTAAGACTAGTGCGATTTACGCTCATAAAGCTTAAATGTAGAATCATTTCGTCCTTGTTGTTTAACTATATGTTGTTAAACAAAGATGAATGCTGTTAATGAGCGTTGTGGGCATGAATCGGACCATAGCCTAGAATAGTTGACTTAAAGTCGGCTTATAGTCGTCTTTAAAGTAGAACATTGTATGACTTAGAGACGTCTCCAAGTCGTCTAAAGTCGACTTACGGCTGTCCATTTGTCAGACGTCTAGAAGCTATAGTCGACTCAAAGTGCTGTTAGGATTTGTGTACATTTTTACTTGACACGTACTAATTTTCACAATATGTCATTTCAAAAGGCTGCGTTCAAAAACGTCACTTGGATGCCTCGGAGGTCTAAAAATTAACATTAAAATTAAATATTAAATAAGGACAGATGAATCCGAAGCATCGGAAACATTCGAGCGACGTTTCTGAACGCAGCCAAAGTTATCGCGATATAAATGTTCAAAATTGCATCTGATTATACACAGAACGGTACAAAAATTCGTCTCGAAAACGAGCATACCTATTATTTTCACTGTATGTCAGATCTAGTATGATTCCAGCATCTGTTTTATTATCGTTTTTTCTCTGTCTTACTGTCATTTCTTCTCGGTCTTACTATCGCTTTTGTTTTTTAAATATGATGGAACCAATAAAAAATCATTACTCGATGACTTAATTCTTATTAGAGAAACTCTACATATTGCCGCCCCTTGGCGCCACCTTCGATTTTAACGCGGCTTGAATTCTGTTCTAAAGTCCGCTCTCGAGTCTTGTTGCCATTAGCAATGACGAGAGACGTGGATGGACGAGCGGCGCTCGACGTTCGGATGAATTTCGGATAAAGACGCGTGGTCAGTTTGACAATATGCCGAGTTTACGTGCGATTTGCGGCGTTTAGCATGTAACGCGAGAGCAAGAATGATGATCGCGTTGCACTTGTTGCTGACGGATACTGCGGAAATGCACGACTCCGAAATGCCATCCACGCTGCCATCTTGAATCAGCTGTCAAGCAGACGATACGCAGGTATGGAGCGCACTTCCGAAAGGTTCTCACATCTAATTATCATAATTTTGTCGACGATTCGTGCAAGAAATCGACATTGCTAAAATCTCGTTTACTTTTTTGATTAGAAATACTTTTAATACTATTTGATACTCTATTTTCGGTTTTGAAGAATGCGTGTATATAAATAATATTACAATATGATAATTTTGAGAATAATTATACAAAAAAGGCAAATAAATCGTCAAATGACAGAAGAATTTGTTAGAAAGATAGTCAATTGTAAGGAACACTCTAATATACTAGTTATGTTATTATATATTTTATATATTTTTGTAGAGAAATAATTGGCAATGAATTTATACTCTAAAATATATGTTTTTCATGACAAAAATATTCGTGAAGAGAGTGAAACGCGTTATTAATTTTGTAATACAATTTTTATCAGACTTAATGTTTTGCGATGCACATATAATTTTCAAACAAACTATTTACAATATTTTATCGTATGATTTCAGCGTTTAGCGCATTATTTGAATTCTGGTGGGACATGGAAATATCTGAAGACGGTGTACAAATAAGAAATCAGCCAGCAGACTTGCTCTCAGTGTACAATAAGCAGAAGAACGATGAACCCGAAGCCGATATTAATGAAGTCGAGATAATTACATCAGCGGGACATTTTTGTGCTATCGAGATCAGAGAGTCCAAGAACTACAATGAGAAATCAATTGACAAGGATCAGAGTGAGGCAAATGAATTAAACGCTTCAGAATCCACTTTAGGAAACATACAACATACTGAGAACGGTGCTATTACTAATGTATTAACTGATCCAATTTATTTAGACACTTTAGACTCCGATTCTATAAATATCGAGTTTCAAAAACAGCCAAACACAACAGAAGTGTTTATTCGAAACGATGAACATATACAAACGACCAATTACAATATATCTACAGTAACGATACCAAATGAACTCTTAGATGGACTCAACATCAATATAAAAAAAGAAGATGATGAGGATCATGGCACATTGTACACTGCAGAATGGTTATGCGATGGCAATAATGACGCCAATATACGACTAAGGATCTTGAAAGATGCTAAACAGAATATACAAATTCCCGTTGATGTTGACACCAACGATGTGATCGCACTAGCAAAACGTAAGAGCCAATTAACAGATGGTAAAGATAATCTTGAACAGGAAAAGACTAAAGTATCCAGAAGATCAAAGAAACACATCAGGCTAAAGTCCGCCGCGCATCATCAAGATTACAGGGAAAGATTGAGAAAAAAGGCTGAGTGTATGAGAGAGAAACGGAAAAAGTTATACGAGCAAGAGAGCGAGGAGCAACGTTTGCAGAGGTTGGCAAAGGAAGCGGCGAAGAGACGCGAGATGAGAATGTATTACGAGACGCCGGAGCAACGGAGAAAACGACTTGACGCTGAAGCAGCAAGAAAAAGAGAATACAGGATGTACAATGAGACGCCGGAAGATAGGAGAAAGCGACTGGATCGCGAAGCCGAGAGAAGAAGAATTAAAAGATTGTCATTATACGCAAACGAAACGCCAGAACAGAGAAGGGAAAGATTAAATAAAGAGTCAGCAAAGAGACGAGAGGCCCGATTGAATCAATATGCTAAAGAGACAGAGGAAGAAAGGAAAGAAAGATTACGAAGGGACGCACTGAGAGCCAGGGAAATGAGATTCACGAGATCCGCCATCGAAACGGAAGAGGAGCGTAGGCAAAGGTTAGTAAAGGATGCCCTTAGAAAAAGGGAGGTAAGGATGCATGGGGGCCATTCAGTGAACAATAATTTTACGGAACTCCAAACCGTTCGCAATTTTCAAGAATTGAACGATGTGCAGATAAGGGACAATCCTGAAAATCAATTGGACGGCCATTATCTGAGCAACTGGATGATGTGGTTTCAAAATACATTGACACAACCGGTTCACAATAGAGAGCAGGTCGCAGAGCCGCAACCGCAGCATAATAGATAACTTGTGTTTTCTGTCATGAGAATACTTTGAAGACTTTTATATGTGAACGGTACTGATAATAGAGACCAATCTGGATATGCTTTATATATGCTTCCCATACAATTTTTGGACGTGGAACGACACAAAAAATCGTAACGACACAATTATCATTACGCCAATTATTATTAATAACATTACGAGATTTACAATAGCAATAGCTAAGAGAGTTATAAATTCGTGTTAGAAACACTATTTTATAATATTTATAAACGCGAAAGAGCGAACATTATTACATTATTATGCTATCTTGTCGATATAAAAGGAAATCGTATACTTGTTCACATTTTATCAAAATGTTGACGATAGATCAATTAAAAAAAAAATTAAGCATTTTCCAGTGTTTGCGTAATATTCGACGATTTAAATTTTAAATTTTAAATACTTAAAGATTTTCTGCTTGTAAAAGAAATACATCTTAAAGTAACACAGTGGTTACTCTTTGATATTAGATTTAAGTGTGTAAATAATTTTGCTGACATGTTGATGCATGAAAGAATGAGAGTTGTACATTGGAAACAAACAAGAGAAGCAATTCTTGCCAGTGCCTTTTATTCATTGTTCAACAAAATAAACATTCAGACTGATTCATTAATACATATGGCATTTGAACATGAGTGAATGATTCTGGTGAAAGTTTGACTGTCTCTTGTGTCTATTTGTACATATAATTACTATGTACTTCTTTCTACAGTTCCTTTGTAATAAATAAAATAATAAATTGTGTTATAATGCGTCATTCCAGTTCTTCTGTAAATATTTAATTTTTAAAAGCTTATAATTCTATTGTATACTTATAGAATTGTTTGACGATTATTTTATAAACATTTATAAATAAAATATAATAATTTAATATAGCATAATAATTAAAATTTAATATAATAGTGTAATGTATTGTTTAATGATTTGTCTAATATTTTTATTTAGAATAAAAAATACCATTAATACAAATTATTACAAATTTAATTTTATAAATTGAATTATTAATTTACAATCAAAAAATACACAAAAAAATATATTTAATATAAATTTTATTTAATTCAATGTTCATAAATATGTAATAAACAATATGAAATAAAATCAATACGAATGTTTTAAATAAGTTAATAAAACAATGAGTGGGTTCAAGTCGGCAAAACATACTTGAGCGAATGAGCATGATTTGTTCTTATTTGTGGATCCAATTAATGATTGCGTTCAACAGAAAAAATAGCTTTGCAAATGTGAAAAATTGTTCAATACGATTGATTGCTTTTGACTTCTTATAGATCTAAACGCATAAACCAATTATATTAAAGAATTTCAGTTGCAAAACTGTTTTCTCTACTGAACAGCCAATCATGTTTAGTTGCTCGATGAACAGGACCTAATTGCTTTGTCAACTTGAATGCGCTTATTGATATCATAATGCATATGTATATGTACTAGAATCGGTTACTAAAAAGTTGCAATACTTTTTTCGATGGGTTTCGAAATGCAACCTATTCATCACTACTCACCGAGTGATTGGTCCTTGTTTATGGATTCAGAAGTAAAAACCAATCGCTTAGTGAGCAGACTACATTCCCATTAAAAAGTACATATTAAAATCCATTAAAAAAAATATTGCAATCTTTTAGTCGGTGAATGTATGTACACTCAAGGACTTTGATTTTTTTTCGGTTACTTTTTTAAAACTTCCAAAAATTTATTTTATTTCATCTTTACATCAAATTTAATTGTAAATGGACGTAAGATTTAATCATGTCGTTAATCGCGCACTATGAGCATTAATGTAGAAAAATGATCATTTTTTTAGTTTGTGAAAATTTCCAAGGGAAAGAATCGAAATCCTTGGGTGTACACTCACGAATATCAATTTTTTTCCTCGAAAAATTTTACAAAATTTTACTGAAAAGTGACCAACTTTCTATAGTCTTGAAAAGTGGATCAAATCAAAAATCGACAATCTATTGTATAAATAGACGTGTATCCTCAATAAAGTCCGATCGAAATTTCGGTTTCGGTTTCGTTTCGATCAAAAATCAATGTTTCATTTTGATTTCAATTTCAACTGAAATTAAGAGAAAATTTCGATGGGTAAACCGAAATTGTACAAATTGGCAATTGTACAAAAGGCCAGAAAGCATTAAAAAAATAACTGTTCGATTTTAATTATTAATTCATTAATTAATTTGAGTACAAACTTTGATTTGATCTTAATAACTGTGATAATAACAGTGATTTGATTTCTTTAAAAGTTAAGAATACAATATTATTATATTATTATAATTAAATATTTTAATAAAATCTTGTTTTTCAAAGAGTACATAAATTTGTCATGATTTCTAAAAATTATGGTCTTTGTAAATTTAATCCAAAAGCCTCGATTTTAACTCCGGCTGACTTTTTTAACTTCTCTCTCTCTTCTTTTTTTTTTTAGTAAGACTAAACTAAGTTTCGGTTTCGGCTGGAGGTCAAAATGTGATTTCATGCAGACTCTAATCCTCAGTGCAAAAAAATGGATGCTGCTACATAGTTTACATTCATTCTTCAGAGAGCAGTAGTGCGCGACAGCATTTTGCGGTTACAGAAAAAAGATCATCCTCATATCGTTTCTTAAGTTTCTACCTATTAGAACATTACTTAAGATGGTCTTAAAACAAGAATCGACTATGAATACTAGCTTTAATATTACACATTGGACGCGATGAAAGACGAATGATATCCAACAAAGATCTCCTTTGCGTCGACGTCACGATTTCAACATGACCATACTCAGGAGCTTTAAAATTAAATATTTTAAAGATATTAACAAATAAATTTTTTACATTACGTGTCGGCTCTGAATCGTGAAAGCTCTGCGTCAGTCTGAATTTTGAATCAAAGAATTTAATCCTTATAACTCGGGACCGGACCATATGTGATCTTTGACGAGAGGTGGGAATCATAAGAAGTCTTACGATTCTAGTAAATGGAGAGTGAGACACGTCATGTTATAAATATTCTAGTTTATTGTTGACACTAAATCCTAGATGTACTACATGGGCTGAAAAATCCCGGGATTTTTCAATACGTGATGTCATTAGAAAATGAACATGATTCATTTCGAGAGGTTCATCTGTCACTAGTTTATGTATGAAGTTTCATGACATTTCGTTCATTCGTTTACAAGCTACAGTCGTTTAAGTGGCGCTACTTTCGCCTTCGTTCTGTACCATCACGATAACGCACCATCACACATGTCCTTGAAAGCGATGGCCAAATTGGACCAATTACGATTCGAATTGGTTGCTCACCCACTCCGTATTCTCCAGACTTGGCCCTCAGCGACTATTATCAAAAAACGCTTGTTTTCATTAAAAGTCCCGGGATTTTTAAAACAAGCGTTTTTTGGGCAAAGTTATATCTATTCCTCAACATAGTTGCCTTCGAGGGCGATACATTTGCTATAGCGATTTTCCAACATTTCGATGCCCTTTCTGTAGTACGAAACGTCCAAGCCTTCGAAATACGCCTCGGTTTCCGCGATGATTTCCTCATTCGATGAATTTTTCGGTGAATCTCTTTCTCTGGAGTCGCCGCTTGAAGTTTGGGAACCGATAATAGTCGCTGGGGGCCAAATCTAGAGAATACGGTGGGTGAGCAACCAATTCGAATCGTAATTGGTCCAATTTGGCCATCGCTTTCAAGGACGTGTGTGACGGTGCGTTATCGTGATGATACAGAACGAAGGCGAAAGTAGCGCCATTTAAACGACTGTAGCTTATAAACGAATGAACGAAATGTCATGAAACTTCATACATAAACTAGTGACAAATGAACTTCTCGAAATGAATCATGTTCATTTTCTAGTGGCGCCACGTATTGAAAAATTCTGGGACTTTTCAGCCCATGTAGTAGTATAGCATTTCGGATTTTATTCGGATCAAAATAATCGGGACCGATTATGTAGACCTCTAGTGCGAGAGGTTGTGTTGCACATAGAAATCTGTCGATTAAGGACTCAAAAGTTATCGGAATGAATGAAGAAATATTACGCGGAAGAAAAGCGGAAAACTCTTCTAAAAATTCTATGCTCGAGTCGGCTGGTGATAATAATCGAGATGGAGGAATGGACTGAAGGATGGACTAGAGGAATCAGGAGTTGGAGATGAGGTGTCAGAGAAGATTCGCTCCGTCAGAGCATCCGTAAAAGCGGGTGACCGAGATCGAAAGGGAGATGAAGGAGATCGAGGAGGTATCGTCTCTAATGCTTCTTAGATAGTCGAGCGAAGCCGGCGGTGGCGGAGAACGCGTCCTCGGCTAATGACTCCGATTCTGAAAGGTTTCGAGATATTTCTGGTACGCCTGGTTCAGTAGTCTCCGCATTTCGAAGTAAGGCCGGCTTCTAAGCCAACCTTTGTATAGGCGGTTGGTTAAGCGTGGCACAGTTATAAGTCGGGTTAAACTTCGCAGTGAATAGGTATATATATATATATATATATATATATA